CGCTTCCAATCCCCTTAAATAGTAATTTAGTTTTTAATCATTAATACATTGTAAAAAATATTTTATCAAAATTAAATAGTATATAGATACATTGGTGATATAAATAGGAAAAAAGTACAATTTAATGTAGTATATTAATTGGAAATTTGGAAAAGCAATTATAGTAAGTTATTAAAGTWTGTTCCATGTTTATTTCTGTGAAATTATATGACGGCGATCTGTAAGAATGTGCCTACTTGTAGGATGAAAAACTGTGTTCAACATCAACACTGGTTATTGGAGCATATTTAAAATTGGCTGATTTAGTGGRTGAATAATTTGGAACACATAAATCGTTGAAATTAGCACCTTAAAGTATTTTCGAAATTCTTTTAAAACCATTAATCCATTATTTTTTTTCAAAATGTTTTTACATTTTGTTTTAATTATTAAACTAATTGCAAATTGTACTAGTAATAAGTTCATTCACAGAATTTTCCACTTGTTCTAAGATTTTTAACGATTCTACAAGGGATAGATTAGAGGTTTCAAGCTTTTTGATACTTACAACGATAYCTACATACGTTTTTACTATTATTCTACTGTTTTCTTTTTTTTCTACTTATTATATTGATTGTTAATACTCTAAGGTATTGTAATTGTTGATCTAGATTTATAATAAAAAGCTAAAAATAAATAAATATCTACATAAATAAATTTACTCTAATGTAAGCAAGATCATTTGCTCAACATCTTTTTGGATCGTTGGATATATTTGTTAACATATGCAAAAATATGCAAAAAATGTACTTACGTCATAATATGAAAAAATATGCAGTAGGTATAACATTTTGATATTTAATCAATCAAGTAGGTACCTAATGATTTGTTGACACTCATTTACTATATGTACATGATTTTGTAAATAACAACATGCATTTTAAGAAAAACCCGGTCTTTATAATCATAAGTGTATAAAACTATAATATAGTTCATATACATATTATGTACACATTCTTGCTATGAGTATTTTAAAATCCAAATTTGGGTGAAATTACATGTTTAAATAAGGTTTTTCAATTTTAGTTACCGATTTTATTATTGTAATTTAAAAATATTATTCGTGAGTATTTGAAACTTTTAGTGTAAAATATACTTTTACTTAGTTATGACCATAGAAAACAAATGACATTATAGGCTGATAAACCGTATTTGCTTAGTCATTTTTCGTTTACAATGATTTTATATCATTGAATTCAAATTTAATACATCCATTGTACATTGACTCTTATATAGCACAGAGTTACCAGCTTATTTTAAAATTCATTATGTTGAAAACAAATAAGTGGTAAGACCAAAAGGGGGTATGGGCGTATGGCCTATGGTGAGATGGGGGAAAGCCATCCCCACGAGTCTGTAGTCATAAAATATTCATATCCCCTCACATAAAACATTTATAATTAAGCCACTCAGGTCTAAATAGGTAAAAGTGCAAGTGCATAAGCATAACTATTATAATTAACTATAGTGTATAACTWTCCAATGACTATGTTAGTCTAAGTAGATGTACTTAAAGGCTTTTAGTCTTGATCATACATCAAATATCAATATTGAGTAACAATTTCCAATTTTTTTTTTTTTTGCAAATTCTTTTATAATTGTGTTATTTTTATAAAAGTTGTTAAAACAAGATTCTACGCCATAAATTAAAAATAATATTAACTGTATTTAAATAACCCGTGTAGTATAAAGAAAGTCTATTTAGACATAAACATCAATTTTCAAATCATAAAAAATATCCAGTAATACACCTAATTATCCATACAGTTAAGGAATTAATTATCCTTACTATCTTAATTGTAAAAATATATATATACACATATATACTTAAATATAATATAGTATTAACTTTTCTTTAATAAAATATTAAAAAATTGCATTATTACATTCATAAATCCACAAAATAAAACTTTACATAACCAAAATTAAATTGCAACATAGTAATAATAATAATAATCATATAATATAAATTAAAAAATTACATCCATAAAAATAACTATTAAATTCTTGTGGTATACAGTTCTACATTAAAAAATTATTCACATTTAATATGTAATACATAAATAAATATATTTTAAACAATGTATATATATATATATATATTATAATATATCTGTATGTATAATTTATAAATTTGTGTATAATATATATGCATAAATATATATAATTCACAATAAATGTAATTTAGTTCATCAGAAATTATATATTTATACAATTATAAAACAAGATGCTGACTTGATAACATATTTTTCAAAAATAAAATTTTAATGCTACTTAAATATGTAAGTTACCATAATTAAATTTTCTTATTTTTCAAAACACTCAGAAAAAAATATAAACTATTTATAAAATTGTAAAATTTACTTTCGTTCATATTAAAAATAGTAAATATTATTAGGTTTAAAAATATATTTTTAGTTAATAAATTTTTTGCATTTAAAATTTAAATTCATGAGAATTGAGAAATKTTTGAGTCATGTTTTGTTACTAGAAAAAATATAAATAAATAAATAAAAATATTTATTCTTTACGTTAAATTAAAATTATATTTCAAAAAAAAATAACACTGTTAATTCACTTAAATGAAAAACGTGCAAATATATCTTTTTAAATTAAATTAATAAGAACTGTTACAAAAATAATGGAATAAAAAATTGCAAAATTTTTTTCTCATTATCACATACGAGATAATTTCATATAACCTTCACATTTAGTATCAACTTTTAAATTGTATATATACAAAACAAGTGTATAGATTAAATCACTATCTCAACACACACATTTTCACATCAAAAATGCATATCTCCCTGCGTTAAGAACACTTAATGAATAATAATTAATTGAAAATTAATAATAACCCAAATTGGTCAATTTACATTGTTGCTTAAAAATTTAAGAGATATTACTAGGCATTAAATAAATCTAAATTATTCTAAGGCTATTGTTGTGTAACATTACACATTAGACTTGTAATTATACATAAAAAAAATATATATATAATAATAATAAACCACATACAAACACCCCTATATTACATATATATTTTGCAATAACCTGAGTGTATTTCATAGGTAACTATAATATAATATTATAAGAATATTAATTGGCAAATAATACCCTACATATATATTTTTCAAAAATAACACCAAATGTGTATTTATTTATACTAATTTCAACATTAAACAATATCAACCAAATAACCTAGATTAATTCAATTTCAGCTTTTGGTGCTTACTGTTGTAGAAATTTTAACTAATTGTAGTTAACTGTATTAATAAAATGGACAGTAATAATAGTAATAATAATAATAATATTAATGTACACCTAGGAATAAAACTGAATGATACATGACTACCTAAAAATTTAGGTTTTAAGACAGAAAAAATTATTTGTAAATAATAACAAAAGGAACTT